TGAGCTCCTAGCCTTGGGATTAGGAGGCCCATTGCAATAATAAGGACTCTTTTGGGCATAACAAATCCTCTTTTGGGCATAATAAGGCCACTAATGGGCTGGGTACATAGTTTATTTAACTAAGTATGGAAATACGATCTGTCGGAGCTTCTTGGCCGATGCGGGTCCCAGGGTGAAGGGGTGCCAAGCCGATGGGAGACCCACTTCTCCCTTGGGCTCTTGGTCCGTGATCTGAGCTCTTTTGGTTCCGACGGATGGGTGCCATCTGGCCGATGTGACGCCACATGGTTACAGTCTTCTGTGTTTAACCTTCTGAGTATGTGGGCCACGGGGTCTGGGCCCATATACTCTATCAGGAGTCCCCCACTCTCTGAGCTGAGATGCAGATGAAGTGAAAGGGAGTAATTTCGTTGCTCTTGATGCTTCTGGCCGTAGCGAGGCCATGCGATGTTGCCTTGTTCTATCTTTGTGTCTTGGCCGTAGCATTACTCACTGGTTTCTTTGTAGCTGATGGTCGATGTCCTTGACGTATTTTGATGGCCGACGAGCTGCAATTACCTTTATAGCCGTTGTGGATCCCTAGCTTTTGTTTTGGGGTGATGAAGTGTGATTCATCATTTTGAGGACGTGCGTCCCCTAGGTTCACCTTTTGGCTTGGCCGAGGGTAAACCATTTGTTTGTGGTTGTGATGCTGGTGATGCGATCTTGCTTTGTTCTGCTTTCGAGTTTGCTTAGTTTTTGAAGCCGACGTAGTCCTCCAGTCCCCCACTCATTCGATCATGTCAAAGAGCATCGTAGGTGTAAAGACCCGTTGATTTCGAAAGGGCTTTGAGGCCGATCCAGTCCCCCTATTTCCCACTCCTTTGTGCTGAAGAGCGTCATAGGTGTAAAGGAGTAAGTTTATTACTAGGCTGAGACGGAACCACTCACATCTCTCATGAAATCCAACCCCTTGGCGATCCCTGACCAAGGTAACCCTATGGAAGAATCCTTGGATAAAGGTCGTGGGCCAGAGGCTATCATCCATGAACTTTGTACGAGTGGCCGGAGGCTCAAGTTTTCATTTTGTTCGGCCAATCGGGTTACGCCACGTGTAATGACCGTTGGTGGGTGTGGTTATAAGTACCCCTCAATCCGAAGTCGTGTTCTTATTTGTGTTTGAACTGAGTAACGAGACGTTGTCCAACTTTCTAGAGAGATAAAGTCTCCCAAGTCTTCAGGTGTTCATCTAGCTCTTCAAATCTTCAAGGTTAGGTTCTTCATTTGTTCTTGTCTTTTTTCTCATATTTTGCTTCCTTGGGGGTTAGATCTAGTGTTTGTAGGAAACATCACCTAGATCGAGAAACCACCATTAGGGAATTGTTTAGTAGTTATGTCGTTCGCTGACGTTCATAGCGTGCCCTCCCCCATTGACTTAACAACGTCTTTGGACGAGGAATATTGGCCTTTTGACGAGGAAGATCCTTCTCCCCGGGTCAGGCTCAAATTAGTGGAGGAATTTGCCGTGGAGATTGATAACACCAGGGAATACTGCACTGAGGACGACGAGGAGTGCCATGAAGATGATGTGAGTGTGTCAGAGTCTGGCGAGGATGAGGCAAATTCCGGCCCAACGCTCAGGGGAGACGATGCAGGTGATGCCTCGTTGTCTGCTATTCCTTGCCCTCCCCCAATTTCCTTTTGTTCTGGGTGATGCCTCGTCGTCCAGTATTGCGAAGAGAAAACGCTGATCCCGTCGTAGAAAGGGTATGGCCGACGGGATCTCCCAATTGGATTTGTCGAATATTTACATCATTAAGCCGCAGAGTTCGCCTAGTGAGTACCATGTTGCGCAGCTGTACATTGGTCCTTACGGCCGGGTTAGGGCTCCTAAACCAACGAACCACATGTTCAATCCTCCCGACTGCTATTTTGGGGTGTACCCCATGAGTTTTGCCAAAGGGTTGAGGTTTCCTCCTCACCCTTTCATCTCGGAGTATCTTGGTATGGTGGGCCTTCCTCTGGCCCTACTCACCCCTAATAGCTATTCACTGATTATTGGATTTCTGATGCGATGCTCCGAATTGGGTATTGAGCTGACGGTGGCGTTGTTCACCACTTTGTGTCAGATGTTCCGAATTGGGTATTGAGGGCATGTCGACGTCTATCCATGGTTGGAATTGTGTTCGTGACATTGGGTGAAGGTGGGTTTTTTCCTTCCTTGGGACATTCAGGGGCTTTCCACCTTCATGATCCGCCGGAGAGTGCCACGATTGATGCCCAGGTAGCGACGTTCCTGAAGGATGGCCCGAGGAGTGTAAAGGAGTACATTACTGAGTATAAGATGGCCGCTCTCGGCCTTTTGAGGTACTTTTGAAGAGGCCGAAGGGCCATGCCTTGGTGTTCCTGCTGAGGCTGGAGGTTTATTTCCGACCTTATACCCTTATGCTTGCTTTCGCCTTTTCTGTGCTAAAATTGTGTCATGTATTTTGTAGGTTTCAATATGTGTCGCAAGATGTTCATGACCAATGATGTCAATCTGGTAGACTTGGAGATGAAGGCTGCTAAGGAGGCTGAGACCACAAAGGGCTCAGCCGATGGCTCCAAGGGTCGGGCCGATGCTGCGACTAGGTATGGACTCGGGCCGGGTGGCCCGACCCGGAACCGGCCCGGGACCGGTACTGTTCCGGACCGGCCCGACCCGGTGGCCCGGTCAGTGACCGGTCCGGGTAGGCCCGGCCCGTGGGTTTTCCGGTCCAGGCTCGGGTCACCCAAAACAAGGCCCGGCCGGGCCCGGGCCCGGTTCGGGCCAAAAACAATTTTTTTTTTCAATTTTTTTTAAATTTTTGGGTTAGGCTGGGTATTTTGGGCCATTTGGGGTGGTTTGGGGGTTGGGGGTGGGAGGGGGGTTAATTAGGAAGAGGAAAACAAAAAAAAATTATAATGGGCCCGGCCCGGCCCGGACCCGGACCGGACCCGGTGGTTACCCGGGCCGGTCCCGGGTCCACCATTTCTGACCCGCCGGCCCGCCTGGACCTAGGCCCGACCCGGACCCGGCCCGGACCCGAGTCCACCCCTAGCTGCGACGAAACCTGTTGTCCCGGAGAGGAAGAGACATGCCGAGGGTCAGAAGATTTTAACTGAAGTTGGCATCAAGCCGAAGGCGTCTAAGAAGACGAGGAAGTCCCCTTTCGGAGGTAATGTTGGTGCTGGTGCAAGCCAATGTGCAGCCGAGGAGGACCACTCTGCTGATATCGTGGTTGTGGATAAGCCTGTCAATGGGTCGGGTCCAGACCCAAACCCGACCCGGATCCGTCTTTTTTAATGGGTATGGGTCTACATTCAATTCCGTTACCCGGACCCGGTTCCAGACCCGTTATTTAATGGGTCGGGTATGGTATATGTAGTTCCGACCCGTTAGTATTTATATATTTATATATATACATTAGTCTAATATACATATTACATTAGTTGTCGCCCACATTACGATTTAGTTTAATAAATCTGAAGAAGGATCCCTAAAGACCCTAGAGTCCGCAGATCGCACAGAATTCAAGAAAAAGCATGTTCAGTTTCCAAAGCCATTAATTTCACTTTTTATTCTAACATTATGTATCTTGCAAATTATAAACCAATTCACAATTGTTGCGTTTGGTTGAGTAATTACAGACAAGTAATTACAGTTTATGTGTCATATTGTGGCCAGAAAAGTACTCGGTAGTAAGAGGTTCTGTTTTTTATTTAAGAAATTAGAATTGTATTTTTGTGAGATGGGTCAGGTCTACCTGACCCGGTTCCGAGACCCAATGGGTATGGGTCGGGAACATTAGTTCTAGACCCTCCGGGTATATGGGTCGGGTCTGGAACCCTATAGAGGTTAACAGGCCCGGGTCTAGAATACTACGTTCCGGCCCGTACCCGACCCGTTGACAGGTCTAATTGTGGAGGACCTGACCATGGGCGTTTCTTTGGCTACTCTTACTGTGCCCCTCCAACTGGTAAGACCAAGGCGTCCAAGGTCCGCTCTGGCCCGGACGTCGCCAAGGGTCTGTATGAGGCCACCGTTCGTTATCCGTCGAAGGGCGGAGTTTTCAACGACGGTGTCTCGGGGGATGAGGTGATTGCTCAAGAGGCTCCAAGAGGAGTATAAATAAGGAAATTCGGGTCTGGGCCTCTAATATGGGCCCAACAGACCCGGTTACATAAATGGACTGATAATATAAAAGGCTAATCTAGTGGATACAAATTAGACTATACAATAATACAAGTAATATCTGTAAGGCGTGTGTGGCTGCTGTCCAGGCCCAATAGTCGTTAGACCCGGGGGTCCAAATCCATATACTCTATCAGTTGCATTTTGAGTCTCGACTACAGGTTGATATTTTTGGTACAAAATTATTTAAAGTATATTAAGTATATGAAGTTGTTCTTTATTAAAAATACTTCCATAAAAATATAAAACTTAAATTTTTAACATATATAATAATACACCAAAACTAAAAAAAATTATTTGGTAATCGATGGGATAATTACAGTCTTGTTAAATATTCCAAATCATGGGATAATAATATTGAAGTTTCTAACATAAAAATTACAGTCTAGGATGTTTTTAATTGGGATAAAAAGATTCAGATTTGACTCAGCCTTCTGTTTATGTATGAAATTTGTGATCTAGTCTAATATGTATGAAATTTATGATCTAGTCTAATATGAGTTGGAATTTGAAAGGTAGATGTTTATTTTATGTCTATTTTATAATCGTCAAAATCTAGTATGGTCTGTGATTTGATCATGTCAAGTCTGATTTGATTTGCGACAGGAATTAGTCTTAAAAATACCCTAACCCAACCCAACCCTAACCCAACCCAACCCAACCCGGGAGCGTCAAACCGTGGCACCCAAACAGGGAGCGTCAAACCGGAGGCCGGCCCGAAACGGGCAGCCCACTAAACCCAGCGGGACAGGACTGAGAACAGTCCATGAGTCCAACTGTTGGGTGGTTTTCTAATCTACTGCTCACTCTCATTTGTAGGAACTCAAAGGAGAGGCTCAAACCTCCGCTATCGGTGTGGGAAATATTTTTCTTTAATAAGTTTCATTCTCCTCTGAGTCAGTCAGTTCAGCTCTCTTCCTCCGATCCTCCTCCCTAGCTCTGCTCCACAAGCTGGCCGGACCGCCATAAACAGACTCTGCAAACCTAACTCCTCAAACATCGAAAAGATCACTCTCTCTCTCTCTCTTCCCATCCATCGTTCCCCTTGCTGGCTTAGCTGGGCGATCGAAGCAGATCTGGCTCATGAACCGGGCGAAGTCCGACAATTAACATAGGGTTTCCCTCATCGCTTCGGAGCGGTGAAGGGATTAGGTTCGTGGTGGCGGCGATCCTAACAAGTCTAGGTTTTCGGCGGACGGCGCTATAGCTTTATTTTTTAGCGCTTCAGTGTCCCAGAGTTTTGCTAGTTTTCCTCATCTGGAGCACATGGGAGATGATAGGGATCTGGAGACTGTTCGCGTTTGGACTGGTTGTGCTCGTGCGGTATGTTGGTCAAGAGATGGAGGCGAATCACGGACAGATCAGGGTGTTGAAGGAAGAAGATGAAGCGATGAAGATCTGGCCCCCTTCTGAACCGCCGCCATGCTGGAAATGGGTGATTAGGGGTCGGAACACCGCGCTGGAAGATTGGTTTCAGCGGCTCAATAAGTTAATCCTGCTTAAATTCATTGTCCCGATTTTTAATTTGTTTTCGAAGAAATTCGTTGCTATCATTTTGCTTTTGGTATTTGATCATGGTAATAAGTTTTTTACATTGATCGAGGGCTCGGCTAAATTTGATATTGTTAGTGGGGGGTGGATCGGATCTATTTATTCAGTAATAGTTGCATTAAGCCCGTCTGGTGGTTAGTGCTCCTTTAGAGGTGATCGTCTCTATGTCTAATCGTAGGGCTAAAAGTAGTAGTTGGTAGGTGAATGTTTTTGTCAGTTCTGGCCATTTTGAGATTGTTGTAACGATCCTGATTCTAATGATATCAATATAGTCGTTTTCATTTCAAAAAAACTCCGACAATTAAGTTCAATATTTCACTACCCGTTACCAAAAATACTACTACGTAATTATTATTCCATATAGCAAATTCTCATGGATGGTGTCAGTTTTTTTACTTTAGTTTTATTTTACTTTGAATATTTGTTGTATGGATATATATTGTTTGATATTCACTTATTGTACTCTATTTTTGAAATGATGTAAAATTGTAAAAAGAAAATTCATTTTTATATTTAAACAAAAATATATATGAATCAACCGTATTCTCCTATATATGGGTATGCATGGATACTAGGCTAGTTACTGAAGGAACACAATATTCTATATACGGAGCAATAAATACTTTCCTCCGAAAATTATACCAATCGTATCAGGCCTCGGATTATCAATTATTGAGGAAAATGTTTTATGCAAAGCATAGAATACACTTTCATTGCAAACACGATTATGGGTTTATTATATTATAGATTATAGATTAGAAGTGGAAGATAATTTATAAAAGGAAATGTTTAGTAATTGGCCAGCCGTGAAGTATATTAATATTAACGGGAAATATAAGATACTATCGTTGACCCATTATTATTCTTTATTTAGATATATACGATTTGAAAAATAATGTCACTACAGAAAAATATGAGATTGACAGATTTTTATAGGGATTCATCAAAATTCATAGAAGGTTGGCAAAGATATGTCAAATCTATATTAAAAACACTTTAATTTTAGCCATTTAATACAAAATCATCGATAAATTCGTGTCAAATCGTGTCAATCCCGTATCTTTTTGTAGTATTCATTGGTGAGTAAAAACGTGAGAACACCAACCCCAGACCGTAGACCATACCCCATGTGGCCAAACTGCAAATAAAAAACAATTCATTATGTTGATATAAACCTTACTAATCAAATTTTCAAACTGATATCTTTAATCTGTCTCAGCAATTTTTATCATCAAAGTTTATGTATATATCGGCTTAGTTAGAGTTGGATCGATCAAGGCTCCTGTCTCTCGGACTCGCGGAGTACAAAACAAGAAGAAAAGAAGCTCATTTCCCTTCCGATAGAAAAAGGTAGTGTAGCTTCTTTCTAGTAGAAACTTCAATTCTCTATACCATACCATATAATTAGCATAAATTGATAAACACACTTCTATCCGCACGTGTAACTCATTTGGTTCAATGGTGGGAAATTTGGAACAATGACCAAGGTTCGAAACCCGCAGCGGTCGAGTGGAGGTTACAGCTCCTGCGTGCTGGGTTCGACATCTGGTGCACACGGGTATAAGGTCTACCATCATTGGGCCGACTGAGTCACCGTGACTTACATACTCTCAAAAATCCTATCGGGTCGGTGTGTGTGGGCTCTTGGGGTGAGAGATCCCACCTTTTGGAACAATTGATAAACACACTTCTTTTATCTTCACTTGTCTCGAAATTATTGTTTTCAATGTTCTCACTAGTTTTTCACATGTCGATGCACGAGCTAATTTTGTTACTATCTCGTGTTTCGTCTTTAAAAATAAAACAATGAGACGAAATTAACCATAATTTCCCAACAATAAATTTGTAAAATATTAATAAATAAGTTGTAAAATTCAATGATGCATGCGACTAAAAAATTAACGAAAGTAGTACTCCCTCCGTTCCCAAAAATACTTCCCACTTTTCTTTTTGGATTATTCCCAAAAATACTTCCCACTTTCTCACATTCATTTTACCTTTTTCTCACACAACCACAACCATACATTTCTACTTTATTCCACTTTCTTAATAAGCGTGTCAAGTTAAATCGGGAAGAATTTTTAGGAACGGAGGTAGTATTTGTTTTTGCGCAAAATTATTAGTGTAATGAACTGTACTGCGTATGAGAGAAAGTGTCCCGATACATTATCATACATAGTTTTTCCTAATCCGTCACTAGTCGAGATTGATCATTGTTTATGAAATTAGGTCACAAACAATTTGTCTCAAATTACTATATTGTGCGTCCCAATATCGATTTAGAAACCTATGACAAGACATTTTTATTATTGACATTATATTTTTTTGAAATGCATATTGTATAGGAAAAATTGATAATAGTAATTCCAATTGTAGGCAATATGATCATAATTATTCAATTTATCGATTATTCCTGGATAATTCTAACTTTAATTTAGGGACCTTCCGCCAACAATGGTCCTCTTGATCAGCTACCTATTCAGTCTATAAAAAAAGAAATTTCATATTATAATAATGTCAACTATCATTTGTCGACTTTTGTCATAACGAAAAAATCAAATTAAAATTTCTATAAATAAAAAATGGTAAAAAAGAGTATATTTATTTGCATTTGATTAACTTTTTTATGTAGTTTATAAAATTAAAGAATATAAAAGATATAAATATAGAATACGGAAAAAACATATACTCCCTAAATTCCTCTGTATTTCAAAGTTTGCTACACTTTCCCTTTTCCGTAAGTTTTATTAAAATACTCAATTTATCATCAATTTTTGGGAGATTTGCAATTTTAGTCCTGTAACTTTCGGTTGTTATCGTTTTTGGTCCTGTAACTTTAAGCACTTGCAAATTTGGTCCTGTAACTAATAAATCTTTGTAATTTAAGGACTTTCCCACCTGAAAGTACACTTTCCGGCGGAAAAGTCCAACGCCGGCGACATCTTTTCCGGTATGCTATTGTCGGAAAGTGTACTTTTCAGGGGAAAAGTCCTTAAATCGCAAATATTAATTAGTTAGAGGACCGAATTTGCAAGTGACTAAAGTTACGAGACTAATAATGATAACGGTCGAAAGTTACGGGATGAATATTGCAAATTTCCCTTAATTTTTCTACTTCTATATTTTCTTTCATGCATTTTCACTCTCTCCCTCATACTTTTTCAACATTATTCATTAGACTTACTATTTCATCCTTAACTAATGTCCCCAAACCTATTGTAGTGAAATTTTAAAGATAGAGTATAAATTTCAAAATTAAAATTTTATACTCCGTAATATTTAAGATATTATAAATGTATTACAAATATAAAATATATAACTAGAGAGAGTAAAAATGTCAATATAAAAACCTTAAAGGAAAAATGAAATTGCAAACTAAGTACAAATTGAAAAAATGAAAACATTGATTTTTAAAATTAAGAAAGTGCAAGAAATAAAAATGATAATACTTTTTTCAAAATATTAAAAATTATAAAAGCTAATCATCCAAAAACATTAAACCATTTTAAAATTAGTTAAAAATCAATAAAATTCATGAATTTGTAAAAGAATATTCCACACAGTTTCATTTATCAAAAATTACAAATACCTTTTCCTTGAAAAAATAAAATAAAAATGTAATATTTTTTATTTTTGAAATAAAATACATTTTTAGATTTAGTTAAACTTTCATTTATATGAATTCAAAATTTAAAGTTTTAAATAAATTTTTCTAATTTTTCTTTAAAAAATCAACTTGATGATCGGACCATAATGAGTTGAAGATCAGAGAGAGTGACATATCTAAAAGTGCATTTCGCACTAGATATAGTAGGTTACATCCGTTCATGGACCATTATTGAGATTATTATTTTCAACTTTTTCCTAAACTCCGTAGTATACGGGTTTTATATTACTCCTATGTCCCATAAACTTGACCAAAATTGACTGCCATGAAGTTTAATAAAATAAAAATTGTATGTTTGAGTTTTGTGTAGAAGAGAGAAAATTAATTGAAACCACAAATTCTTACTTAAAGGAGAAATTGATAAAGTTAATGAAATAAAAAAAATTGACAAAACTTTAGGTGACATTCAGGGTAAAATATACCGTACAACCTGTTGTACCGTGCATACGATAAAATCATGCATTTTATGTTAAAAGAAATGACTATACGGTTTAAAAGAAATGAATATTAGTATTAAATAATAAAATTAGCACAATAAATATCTGGCAAAATTGACACAAATAATCCTTACTTTTACATATTTCACAACAATAATCCCAGCTAATTAACTGTTTCACAAAAGTAAACCGGGAGTTAATAGTGTCAATTTTTCCCTGTAGTTTTTTCACGAGATTGACGTTTTTTTACTCTGGGGGGTCTGGGGGAGGGATCTTGGGGGCTTGTAGTGTAATTAGCGTGTTTAGCGTGTTTAGCGTGTTTAGCGTGTGTATCTAGCGTGTTTCAAACTCTCCGTACACTTCATTGAGTTTCAAACTCTTGTGTGTCTAGCGTGTTTCGAATTCGAGACTTCTCACTAGGCACAGTAACCTCACAACCAGCTGGGCTGGAATGATTATATATTTTAAACATATATTTTCAAAAAATATTGTTAATGCTTATACATATTTTTACTTAATTATATTTAAAACTTAACAAATGTTAATGCAAAAGTTAACATTGTTAGCTCCCCGTTTATTTTTATGAAATAGTTAAGTAGTTGAGATTATTATTGTGAACTTTTCTGGTGGAGATTATTGTTGTAAAATACGTATAAGTAGAGATTATTGACGTCAATTTCACCTAAATATCTTGATGATAATACAATAATAATATAGATAAATAAATAAATTGATTAGTAGCCTATATATTATGTATAGATCATGATATATACTACTAATACGGATATTATCAATACAACTATTTAATACCAATAATCATTTTTTTGAACAAAATGTTAATGAAACATAACATGAAATAGTTGTTCTACCATGAATACCGTTCTCCACAGTTAGAGTCAACAAAGAAAAAACAAACCCTACCCACACGGGTAACTCAGTTGGTCGAGTGGTGGGAGATTTGGAACAATGGATTAAGGTTCGAATCCCTACAGCGACCGGGTGGAGGTAAGAGAACCTGAAATAAGGCTGAGCCTCTAGTGCGCACGGATGTATGTGCCTACTGTGATTCTGCTGACTGGGTTACCTTGACTAATCTCCCCACCATCCTGTCGAGTCGGGTGAGGCTCTTGGGGTGGGAGATTCCGCCTTTTGGAACAAAGAAAAAACAAACCCTTCATAATTCATTAGAGCCAATTTAGAAGCTTCTTTTTTGCAGGGAAAAGGTGCTGGGTAGAAGTTGAGATAGGATCATAGCAGGATATAGTCACTTTACGAACAGTGAGTGTTCGAATTCAAATCTTGCTCACTGAGTAAGTACAAGATTTTAGTTTACCGTTATCCCTTAAATTTTCAAATTCTCTTCTTTTATTCAAATCTGCAAAAATCTGCACATGGAAAGAATCCTCTTTTACTTTACTTGGGGACTTGGGGTTTCGCTTTCCCTTACTCTTTACCATTTTTAGTTTCCCGGGCCTTAAATCTTGAACTGCTGAAACCCTTTCTCATAATCTTGAAAACTACTTATTTTTCAACATCATATAAATAAATGTCCACTTCCTCACCTTATTATTGCAGGTGGAGTCTGATTTTGTTAGGTTTCTTGGACTTGTTTAAAAATAAAATTGGCTCGAATTTCCAGAAATGGATAATTTATCGTCTAACTCAGAGGAGAGCTATGATCAAGAAACAGATGAATCCCCCAGAGTAACAGCAGCATTGAGTGGGGATTCTTCTTTCGGGTATTGCAGAACAAACTCAGAGACCTCAACAGATGATAATGGCGGTTCTGGAACATCGTCGCCTGTGATATTTCCGCTGTTCAAATCCCCAATCCGTAACGCCCTTTCGCGGCTTGGAATTAGACATCACAAGAACACTGCAGATGATCCTGAGACAGTTGATTTAGGTGAGGAGGGAACAAAGCTAGTAGATGATGATCCTGTGATACTGCACTTTTAATATTTTTGTCTAATGAGGATTTTGTGTTACAACAATTTGGTTGCAGAGATGGAATTGATGAAGGAAAGGTTTTCAAAGCTGTTGTTGGGAGAAGACATGTCTGGAAGTGGGAAAGGGGTGTCTACAGCACTAACAATCTCAAATTCCATTACTAATCTTTTTGGTATATATACATTGCATTTTCTATATTTTTTGTTCTTCCAAATCCAATACATGGCATTTTCTGTATTTCTCTTGTTCTTCCAAGTCCTATACATTGCGTTTTCTGTGTTACCAAATTATCATTTTGGTAATATTCTTTTTCTTTATTTTCTGTACGTATTTAGTATCTATACATTTTCGTGTATACTTTATACTTCCTTTAAGTCCACAAAAGATATTACAAATTTGTACGTCTAATATTGATGGATGATATTTTACCGATAGTCGAAATTTTAATATCCTATGGCTAGACCGCTAGGATAAAAAACCCGCTTTGGTAAAGCCTAGCAGAACAATTAAATGAAAATGGAGGGAGTGTTCATTTTTTATGTACTCGTATTCTTTTGGAGATTATGCCTTGCTGCCAGTCACTAGTCTAAAAAGTCAGTTATTCATGTAGTGATTGTGCAAATTGATAACCAGAGAATGCTCAAGTGGGAATATGACTAGCATTAAGTTCCTCTTGTTTTTGTATTTGGACACTATTAGCTACCCTGAGTGAAGGTGAGGATTATAATGTAGTACCTAAAAGGAGAACTGTATAGAAATACTTATTTTACGAAAACCGAAGTGCTTCTATTCAAGGCGTTTTCTCTTGAAAGTGTAATCATTTTATGTTTTTGTTGTTATTGTTGCCAGCTTCTATTTTTGGTCAGCACCAGAGATTGGAACCTTTAAATGTTGATAAGAAGTCAATGTGGAAGAGAGAAATGAATTGTCTTCTCTCTGTCTGCGACTACATAGTAGAATTTTTTCCTACTTCACAGAAGTTACAGGATGGCACCACTGTTGAGGTAATAACAAACTTAAATTAGTCTCCAATAATTCTCTTCTTCATTGTATTTTTTTTCTTAATGTTTTTTACTCATATAATCGATGTGATTTTTGTACCCATTTCTAGGTGATGACAAGTAGGCCAAGATCAGATATCTACATGAATCTTCCAGCATTGAGAAAACTGGATAACATGCTCTTGGTATTATAAACATTGCCTACTAAAAGCCTAAATCCATAATTTCTTTTATCTTTAGAGTCTGATTGGTAGGCTTCTTTTATTCTTATGCGTTGGTTTTTCACTAAACATTAACTTATATATTCAGGGCCTTGGTTAAATTAATATTTTTATAGATAATTTAGCACCTTCGGTGAATTCAGGCATGTAGCCACATTCTCAGAATCTCAATAAATCTAAAAAAAATAAACTACTCCCATCATTTTAAGCCTTACCAAACAAACAGGTTCTTAGTTCGTACTTCTCCAGACACTGGAGATTAATAGTGTAAAAATATGTAAGTAACCAAAGGTTTAGAAATGATAATACAATTTATAATTTTAGAAGCTGCTGCTATTGCAGGAGATTTTGGACAGTTTTGAAACAACTGAGTTTTGGTACACAGAGAAAGGAAGCATGTCAGGGAACTCAAGGCGGCATGGATCATTTAGAAGGGTAATTCAACCTCAACCTCAAAGGAATGAGGAAAAGTGGTGGTTGCCGGTTGTTTGTGTTCCGATATGCGGGCTATCTGAGAAGTCAAGGAAGAATTTGAGGCACAAAAGCAAATGTGCTAACCAGATTCACAAAGCAGCAATGGCCATTAACAGTAGCATTCTTTCTGATATGCAAATCCCCGATTCTTACGTTGCCTCACTTCCAAAGGTGTATGTCTCTCATTAATTTTAATTATATATATGTATACACACACACACACACACACACACATATATATATATATATATATATATATATATAAAGTAATGATCGTACAATGTCTTCCTGACATTAATCTCATCATGCCTATTTCATTTTTAATCATTTATAAGTTTAATGGTCCATTTTTTTGCTCAAAAGTATTAACTATTGATTTCAACAATTAGATTTTAAATTTGTCAAGGAAAAGGCACCTCAAACTCACTTTCTCACTTTCAAAACAATCTAAAGGTTAACAGTTATTTCATTATTTAGAAAAAGATTTTTTTTTGGGTAAAATTCAATTTTTAATGATCCAAGTGTTGAAACTTAAAGGTTAAAAGTGATACTTGATTTGAATAAGTGAAGAAATTGAGACCATTGATTTTTTGCATGGATGCACGTCTAGTTACAACTTTGATAGTGTATTAAGAATCAATTCAAGAACTCTTAAGATGTGAGGATTGTCCAACACTCTTTTCTGAGTTTGTGTTTCTTTTCAGTGTGGGAAAGCAAGTGTGGGTGAATCGATTTATCGGTACATGAACTCAGCAGAGAAGTTTTCACCAGAACATATTCTTGATAGTCTAAACATAAGCTCAGAGCATGAAGCACTTGAGTTTGCAGACAAGGTTGAGGCTTCCATGTATACATGGAGAAGAAAAGCTTGTTTATCTCATGCAAAATCCTCATGGGAGGTGGTCAAAGATTTCATTTCTGAAATTGACATACCTGATAAAAATCATGTTTTAGCAGAAAGGGCAGAGAGTCTGCTGTTTTCATTGAAGCAAAGGTACCCTGAACTCTCACAAACAACACTGGACACGTGTAAGATCCAATGCAATAAGGTATAAATATAAAAATTCATCTCTTTTTTATCCTTTGGGCATTTATACTAATTACATAGTCCTGAAAAAAATCTGAATATTTTCTTTTTTGGCTTTTTAAGGATGTTGGGAAATCAATATTGGAAAGCTATTCGAGAGTGTTGGAGAGTTTGGCATTCAACATTGTGGCTTGGGTTGAAGATGTGGTTTTTGTTGATAATAAGACCATGAAAGACCAACACATTAGTAGTAAGTAGTGCGTAAGATAGACGATCATTCCAAATTATTAGCTGAGAAGACATCCTAGTCTTATTAACTCTTATTCCAATACTTTAACTGTAAATCAAAATACAGATAGCCAACTTCTGCACATTTGAGTTAGTATAAACGGATATTGCCTTAAATATGAGTGCAAACAATGTGAAATTATAAAATAGGAGTATCGTGTTTATTTTCCCAAAATAGGAGTAGTTATTGTCATGCTTAAAAAATATTGTAAATTATTGCATTAGTACTTTCATATTAATGTGCCGTAATACCAAAATATGACGCAATATGATCTCATACTGAGATTCTCACTATAGCAATAACTCGCTCCTATAAAAAATGTACAGATGGGAGATTTTATAGATGTTCATTACAGTTTTTAAAGTACATTTAATGTACAATGACAGTCCAAAACTGAAATATTCTTTCCAAAAGTTGTTCCCAAACTAAAAAGGTTTGCTCCTATTTTTGAAAGGACTTTCTAATGTTTAGACTTGCACCTTACATATACAGGCAAAAGTGGCACATTACACACACCTTCATGAGTACATAACGCACACACCCACACAATAAATGAAAAAAAAAATGCATATAACGCACACACCTTCATGAGTACATGTCCTTCCCTTCCATGAATATTTGCCCTTCACCAGGAAACCTACATATAACATACATTTTATGAGGGACTTGGAAGAGTGAAAGAGATGGTCCAAACTAGCAGATTGTCCAACAATGAAAGAGAAAACATAAATGGTGAGATCCTATTAAGTTCTAAAACAAGCGCTTTCAGGGACTTGGAATCGTAGAAATGTATTCTTGGTAAACTTGCTACAAAATTGAAGTGTCAAAAAGATCATTGAGCATGTAGAGCTTAGTTAAAAACCAAGTTCAAAAGTAGATGAAATAGATGTAAAGAGGACATTATGCGATAATGCAAGGAGAAGAAGGATTCAACACGATGTAACACCGTGATGCACTATGGGGTTCGATCACGACCAATGTACTCACAAGACACCGAAGCAGGCCTAACAAGCATAAAGGCCCAAAGTTTCATTGTATATGGTAGATACAAACATAATATGTATCCATAATGAAATATGATAAACCTATATATTTTTAAGTCGTACTTGAGATGAAAGATCTTGGTGAGTTCAGTTCATTTTGAATTTGAACACCGAGTTGGTGAATACTAATTTACTAGTTGTGTATGTCTAAAAAGTTTCATGAAGATTAATACAAAAAGAATACACACATCAAGAATTCCCATGATGGGATGAAATACTGATAAAAAAAGAAGACTCATTATTGTAGACTTGTTGGGAAAATGACTTCCCTATGTAAGTGTAATTTTTGCATTATTGTACTTTGATGAACATAATCAAATATTACATTTTCATGAACTTGTCAACTATAAATAGTCCAGGACCGATGCAACATATGTCTCCACTGGTATGGTATCAAGAATGTATTTTGATATCTAAATAAAGCATTGACATAATCTATACTCATCCTTTATAAATTGAATTAAAAGGTTGATGAGTGTAAGTTTGGGAGAATAGAATTGATTGATGCATTCCATCACTCGGTTACAATATATATAGAATACAAGTCTAACAGTTTAACTGATGAGATCCTAAAAAATAGGATCTGACTACCTAACCATGCTTATCTAATACGTGTGAGTAAATTACATCAGATAAGGCTAAGTATTCTAATTTATATACAACTAACTCGACTGTACATTTTTACACTCCCCCTCAAGTTGGTGAATATATATCATACATTCCCAACTTGCTAACTAGTTGTTCAAACACTGGTTTGAACAATCCTTTCGTTAGAATATCAGCAGTTTGATCCTTGGTAGGCACAAATGGTGTACACACAGTTCCAGCTTCAATGTTTTCTTTGATAAAGTGTCTGTCCACTTCAATGTGCTTTGTTCTGTCATGTAGGACTGGATTGTGTGCAATGCTAATAGTTGCCTTGTTGTCACAATATAGTCTCATAGGTAACTCCAATTCCATATTTAGTTCTTTGATCACTCTCTTGATCCAAAGAAGTTCACATATACCATTGGACATTGATCTGAATTCTGCTTCTGCGCTGCTTCTAGCTACCACATTCTGTTTCTTACTTCTCCAAGTCACTAGGTTTCCCCATACATAAGTGCAGTACCCTGAAGTAGATCTTCTATCACTCACTGATCCTGCATAATCAGCATCTGTAAAGGCCTCTACTGCCCTACTATGGTTCTTTTTGAAGAACAATCCTTTTCCAGGACAACTTTTTCAAATACCTAAGAATTCTGTAAGCTGCCTCAAGATGTTCTTTATATGGACAGTGCATAAACTGACTTACCATGCTAACTGCAAAAGCAATATCAGGTCTGGTATGTGCTAAGTAGATAAGTCTTCCTACCAATCTCTGATATTGTTGCACATTGACTGGAACCCCATCTCTGACATCTCCTAACTTCTGATTTGGATCCATAGGAGTGTCAGCTGGTTTACATGCACTCATCCCTGTTTCTTGAAGAAGATCTAAAACATACTTCCTTTGAGATACAATAATTCCCTTTTTTGATCTAGTTATTTCCATGCCAAGAAAGTATTTCAACTCTCCCAGATCTTTCACCTCAAATTCAGTAGCAAGTTTTCTCTTCAGGTTTTGTGTTTCTGCATAAAAGTCTCCTGTAATGATAATATCATCTACATAGACAATTAATATAGCAATCTCCCTCTTACTTGAGCATTTTATAAATAAAGTATGATCAGCTTGGGCCTGTTTATATCCTTGTTTTTTAACAAACTGTGTGAACCTTTCAAACCAAGCCCTTGGGGGCTGTTTGAGTCCATACAGAGATTTTTCCAGCTTACATACTCTTGAACCAAACCTGCTTTCAAACCCAGGAGGAGGATTAATGTAAACTTCCTCCTCAAGTTTTCCATTTAGAAAAGCATTCTTCACATCCAACTGTTGAAGAGGCCAATCTAAATTTGCAGCAATAGATAGAAGAATTCTGATAGTATTCAACTTTGCAACTGGTGAAAAGGTTTCAGTGTAGTCTATGCCATAAGTCTGTGTATAACCTTTGGCAACTAACCTTGCCTTATGTGTTTCAAGAGTGCCATCTACCTTGAACTTAGGAGTAAAAATCCATCTACATCCAACTGTGGGCTTGTTTTTTGGTAGCTCTACAACCTTCCATGTCTGATTCTTTTCAAGAGCATCCATCTCTTCCAAAACAGCTTTTTTCCACTCAGGTTTAGATAGAGCTTCATGTATGGTTGATGGGATAGAAATAGAGGAGACAATAGAAGAAAAGGTTGCAAATGTAGAGGATAATCTAGAATAGGAAACATGGTTTGAAATAGGATATTTGACACATGACCTTCTTTCTTTTCTGAGGGCTATAGGTAAATCAAGATCAGTTGAGTCATTACCTTTTTCATTTACTGTCATGAGGTCAGATTCATCAACAGATGTAGGTTCAGAGACTTCCTCTTCTCTTTGATTTGGAACCTTTCTCTCATAAACCTTGCCAAAGAACTTACTGATCTGCAACTCTTCTTTTCCCATTTTATCAGTTGTATTTATTTCATTATTTTCTGAAGTTTGACCATTTTTTAATGCATCTAAGTTTCCAATAGAATGCATATCTAGATTAGTGTCAAGAAAATCAAGATTGTCATGACTATGTAACACATTGTTAGCATCTTCATTTGAACTCTCCCCCTGAAGATGAGTATCAAAAAATACTTGATTTTCAACAAAAACAGTGTCCATTGAAATAAACATCTTTTTTGTTGAAGGATCAAAGCATTTATACCCTTTCTGTGTGGATGAAATACCTAGAAAGACACACTTAGTTCCTCTAGGATCAAATTTACTTGCAGTTTTGTCTGGATTTTTAATAAACACAGTGCAACCAAAGATTTTTAAAGGAAGAGTGCTAATCAATCTAGTAGTAGGGTAACATTCTTGAAGAATACTAATTGGAGTTTTAAACCCTAAAACTTTTGATGGCATCCTATTTATTAAATAGGTAGCATGTAAAATAGCATCTCCCCATAAATATTTTGGAACTTTCATTGAAAACATGATTGCACGTGTAACTTCAAGTAAATGTCTATTTTTCCTCTCAGCAATTCCATTTTGAGCAGGAGTATTAATGCAAGAACTTTGATGAATTATTCCCTTTTCAGTAAAAAATTGATTCAGATTTGTAGAAAAGTATTCACGGCCATTATCACTTCTTACCATTTTGATATTGGTATTGAATTGAGTTTGGACCATTGCATAAAACTGCTTAAATACATATTCTATTTCTGATTTTTCCTTGATTAAGAATACCCATGCCATTCTTGTATGATCATCAATAATTATTACAAACCATCTCTTTCTTTTTAAGGTAAGGACTCTAGATGCTCCCCAAATATCACTATGCACAAGAGTAAAAGGACTTGTAGGTTTGTAACTGTGGGGAAGATATGAATTTTTATGATGCTTTGCAAGTGCACACATATCACAATAAAACTGTGAAACATTTTTATTATGAAATAATTGAGGAAACAACTTTTTTAAATAATGGAAACTAGGATGACCTAGTCTGTAATGAATTAAATACAACTCATTATTACTGGGAAAAGTAATAGTTTGCAGACAAGTATTTCTTTGACCTTGTTTATTTGATTCAGTCCTTTTATCAAAAATATAGAGTCCGTCTTCTTCCCTAGCACTGTCAATCATCTTCCCCGATACTAGATCCTGAAAAATGCAATATGAAGGATAAAATTTAACACAACATTGGAGATCTTTGGTTAATTTGCTAACAGAAACAAGATTACAGGATAGGTTTGGGACATGTAAGACTTTAGAAAGATCAATAGAAGTGGAAACTTTAACATTTCCAGTTCCTGCAATGTCTGAAAGAGAGCCATCTGCAACTTTAATTTTCTTATCCCCTGCACAGGGTTTATAAGAAGAATATAGATTGGAAATGGAGGTCATGTGGTCTATTGCACCTGAGTCAATGACCCAGGTGGTATTTGGTTTTCCAGAACAGAAAAATGATGCAATTTTACCATTCTGAGCAAAAGAACAAGAAGGGTTCTCTGATTTAGGGTTCTTTTGGGTATTGAGAAATTGTAGGATTTGCTCTATCTGATCCTTGGTGAAAATTGGCTACTTGAAATTGACTTGTTGCTC